CCAAAATGTTTTTTTTTTGTTTTTGGTACTAAGAGTAAGCCATCAAAACAAACCACATTTCAGTCTAAGGTCATATGGCCGAGGCCTATTATATTTAGAGTTACATATAATATATATAAATATATTCTACATATGATGTAGCTATATAAGAACGGACACACTGTATTCTAAGAAAAATAAGTGAGTTTAATACAATAATGTGTAACAGTCATGTGTAAAGTTTTGCCTTATTCGTATATAGACAATAACGCGTCCGGTTGACAATGAATCGTTTTTATACAATCGTATATGATTTTTTAATTACAAGGTGACGACTATTATATAAAATAATACGATGTCCACGTTCCTCTTTATTTCAACTATATATGTAATATGTATACAATGTTTAAATGTCTAATATATGTCATCAACCGTGCATGAATCGGAAGAACATAATAATACGTATGTAATAAAGGTAGAAAAAAATGTGAGTGTTCGAAGATTTAAATTTCTTATGATTAGGATACATAGTATATAGTTAGAAGTTGTACACACAACACACTTACGTTAAATACTTTTTTTATTAAAAGGCGTTCTCTTTTCTCGCCTCCAACGCGAGCACTGCCCAGCATCGGTATACCATTTACGGTATGCACATTATAACTTAATACCATTTAATTTTAGATGTTAGATTAATGTTTATTAGTAAACAGCGCGGAGGCATTACGTATTGCTTTCAATAAATTTATAATAGTCTGCAGATAATGCAATACTACAAACAATGAATTAAATTACAATATTACCGTCCCGCGTTGAGTTGAACGAAGTAATTCGTGCATCTTCAATGCAATGCAGTAGTGGCATAATTTGACATTAGCAGGTGCGATGCAAAATGCATATATACCAATAAGTTTTTTGTTTATTCTTTGTATAGCAATTAGTTTCGACAGTTGGGTATTAGAAAACTTATAAATTGAAATCAATATGCCGACATCTGCAGAATTTATCGAAAACTATAATTTGTGTTAAAATTCTCATATGTATGTTAAGTTTCCATAGAATGAGAGGATGACTTTTCGCTCTTTTGTACTGCCTAATAACAATTATATATGTTCTCCCACAGTAGGAATCGTTTAAAACGACACCGGTGGTAGTGACATATCGGGTTTTATGACCTTAGAGTAAAGGACCCCGAATAAAAATGCGTGGCCAAGTGTTGAATATTAAATTGTATCGGTGATTTTGGCTACCGGCTATTATGACCTGTTTTCCTTAGTCCCTCGGCCGTCATTGTAAACGATTTCTTCTGTAAATATACATGACTTGCACTTACAGAATTCGTATTTGTTAATTATTCTCATATAATCCACAAGTTACCAACAAACCAAATGTCCTACCGGCTACCATACAAGCTAATATACATAAGCTGTACTACAGCAGTACATAGTGTTTGTTATATCTGGCATGTTGAGGATGATTTGAACAAAAAATGGTCAACCTTATTGTATAGGCTCGAAGAAATGTTTTTAATGTTTTCCCCCCCTATCGGAAAACTGAAATCTTCGCACATCACGCGGATAGCCATCTAAAGGATTTTTTTGAACTTACGTATTAACCGACAAATTGTTTTTGTACTCGCTGTGTACAGTTTCATAACAATATAGCATAATGTTTTCGATACTTCGGTATTGGGCGAGAATACAATTTACGGATGACATGCGATTTCGCGTGGGCGGTCTGCGGAACACGAGTTTTCTGATCGAAATCGAGGCGACCCTGCAGGCTCAAAATATAATATTATTCTACACACAATATATAGGTACGAGTTTTATGTCACTACACACACGCACACACAATGCGCAAGTATGCCTATATATTTATATAATTAGATTCGACGGCGGTGCTCGGTGAGTGGTAAAAGTTTGATGGTAACGCGTATTAATTAACTTCACGGATGTCAAACGAAAACGAGATTTACGCGTCGTGCACCTTTATATATGTATAAATACGCGTCAGTGCTGCGAAATATCTCTCAAGGACCTCATCGTTTAGATATGTTTGTACTCATAGACATATAGAATATATATATATATATACTGTGACGCGGGTATATATAGGAGCGATTCGCGGAGATCGAAAAGACAAAATATATAATACGAATGATAACGAAAATATACAAGTGCCCGGTGGCACTAATAATATTGGTATTGAAAATCTTGAAAATCTCTATACCTACTTATATATAGCATTTATATTATATAGCAATTAACCCGTGCAAGATTAGTCGCAGATAGTCTGCGAGACGATAGTCGAACTACGCGCCTTGACACTCGATTATCTATAGTCACCGCTGTCGTCGGCATCATAATATTATGCTCGAGCAGTGTCCGACGAGCGTTTTTTTATTTTTATTATTATTATTACCATTCGAAGAGAAGGTCTCTCTATCCGCTCCGCGATAAAATATATACGACGATCGGGGACACGCGAAGCAATTACGGACACGATAATAGTAATATTATTATATACAGACGCTATTGGAGGGGCCCCGTTGTGCCGAATTCGGCGTTTTTACTCTTAAAATATATTCAGCTATGTAGCCGGTAAGTGCGGTAACGCTCGGTATCTACATTATCATCTAAACCACGGTATAATCGGAATAAGTGCGGCGTTGTTCGAATGCAATAATAATGTCGAATGTATTATGCAAGTCCGTAACAACCCAGAATAACCTTACTAGAATACTTATATTTTTCAGTCGCAGGCTCGCAGCGATTGTAGCCTATAGGTTTATATACCTATTTTATTCTAAATGCTATCTGAACGAGTACGGTTTTAGACATAATACGAGTTGCTCGTCCCTGACGGTCAGAGTGTCTGCGATAAATAAAGTGTAAACTGGATGATTGTTTTAGTACACAATGCTTACTCAGATTTCTGAAGGATCATTCAGATAGGTATATGATTATATATTTTATATTTTATATTAACCGTCAACTGTATGCATTTGTTGAGTATATATTATGCGATTACACTTTTGATATTTCTCATATCGCCCAATAATAAATCCAACCCAAGACCCAACTATAGTAGAGCCCTATATACTATAATACACCCAAGCGAAAAAGAGCTGTAGTAAAGTGTAATATGACGTTGACATATTATGTAGGTTTGTACACATGATGGGTAAGTCGTAAACTCATGAGCTTTATTAATACCAATGAATTAAAAATATTGTGTGAATTATTGGTATTTGGGTTTTAACCTATTTAATATATTAAATTTAGCACCTATCTCTGTTGTACCAATATAGAATATCGTTTGGTAATAAACACATTTTAACGTTCAATTAGGTACAGGCCGTACGCAACTGATGGTTGTATGATTATTTATTTAATTACATATTTTTATACTTAACGGTAGACAACATGATATTTTAGGTTGTTAAAGTGTTCAACACTTAATGATTTCCTTAGAGATGTAAAATGTACGCAAATTTGTTTTCAGTGATTTACCGAGAAAGAATAACATAAACAAAGTACCATATACATTTCGTACATTTTGATATTTTTGGTAAAGTAGCCACAAGAGTTCGTTCAGAAACTCCCTCGCCCACTTTTTCATAAATTTTTAACTATCAAGACTTTGTAAATACCGCAGTTTGGGAAACCATGTAACATCCATAGAAAATATATTACCGTTTTGAAAATAATCTAATGTACTACAATCATTTGCATTAATGTCACTGATCCTTACTTTTTATTTAAAACTTCACATTTTACATCGGCCATTCTATTATTGTTGATATTTGTGATGTTATAAAATATATAAGTATAATAATGATGTTTGATTTCAGGATTGCTTTATAATTTTTTTTATAAAATGTCAGTTAAATTTACTTTACCGAGTATATATTTTTGCCTCTAAGATTTCTATATTTTCTACGATTTTGTCTACTCACGATTTATGATATTATACCTACAACCCACTACCCAGTACCCACCTATACCTATAATAATATGATTATTTTTATAATAATTATAAGCCTTTGTGTATAGAAGGAAATCAATTTTGTGTTAAAGGTCACGTGAATCGATCGACGAACGGTTTTTTACTGGTTGATAATACAAATAATATAGTAATAAGTTATTTAATACACTACGCAATGGAATGGGTAAGCATGTATATCATAAGGTCATGACCGCTGCACGATAATAATTGATTTTCGTCGTTTGTCATCGTATTGTCGAGATCACATAAATACTTGTACTGAGTTATCAATAATAACCTCGAAACGCTCAGTATTGTGTGCTACATCTTACAAAGCACAAGCATACAACCTATGTAGCAACATAGTAGATAATAGGTTTAGGTTGATTACAAGTCGTATGTTTATTTGTGCAAAAATATTTTTATGATTGCGGTAGTAAAGGAAGTCATATATGCGGGGTGATCAATTTAACGTAAGACACTCATTATTTCAGAAAACAAGGCACGGCGAAGAAACGAAAACCAAAGTATTAATTACTTTGAAAATGTCAGAATTATATAACTTAATTTAATTTAGCAAAATAAAAATGTACTCGAATAACCATTGCCGTTGAATCGTTTTTCTCAATAAAAAAATATATATATATATTTCTATTACACAATTTAAAGTCGTCACAGAACAACATTTTTGGAGAAAAAAAAATGATCAGCCGGTATAATATGTTGTACTGTCATCACTTGACACTTGGCCAAAATCCGGCCTCTAATACCCATAACACGGTTACCGGTTACTTATAGTGATTAGAACAATATTGTGTGACTTTGATATCGTTACACTATTTTAGCCTTTACTGAATAATATATAATTTGATGTGGGACATGTATAGAAGCTGGTTATAGTATGATGTATATATTATTGATAATTAATATACACAGTTGGTTATCAAGTGACGGCCATAACAATTCATATGGTGTATTTGTTTTAATGATATCATTACACAGTACACTTCAGTTATTGTTTTGTGTTGCAGGCTTGGTGACAGCCACGTTGGGAGACGATTCGGCGTGCGCCGCTGCCCGTGACGAGACGTTCAGCGGCCGCAGCGTGGCCGAAGTGCGAGCCGGACACCTGTTAGTCCGGTGGGACGGGCCGGCCGGTTACTGTTGGAAACTACTCCTCCGGTACCTGAACCTCACGGCCACCGAGCACGCCACCTACGGGTTCAGTCTCGTGCGGCCCGGGAGCAAGTCGCCCATCGTCACCGTAGTGGTGAGTACAAAATTGTTGTCCCAAGTATAAGTTATTGTATAATATGTGTTTTTATCGATTTACGCTGATTGCGCCCAAGACAAGGCCTAAATAATAACCCTAACCTAACTTAACCCAACGATTGGGGTATTCGGGGTATTAAGGGTTAGGTATACCGATACGGCGATATGCCAAATTCCAACACCACGAGTGCGACAGACCTGACTGTGGATATACTGGATGGTGGGGCGAATGGCTCTTCAAAAAAATATGAACAGCCATAAAATACTACGACAGACCTATCGGGTTTAGTGCGAGTAATAAGTAAATGTACCTCAAATCACGGACAAACCGACATCACGGTGTACCTATACCAGTGGCGTAGCCAGGATTTTTTTCTGGGGGGGGGGGCTTATCAATTTTTTACACAGCGGTGGTTTAGTTTTTGATCGAATACCATAGACCATTAAAATAATTTTTAAATT